CTATGTGAGAATGGGCCATGTTCAATAGCTTTATACTCTCAAAGAGCATAAAAAACTTGTGAAATAAACATTGGCTTCCTTCCAATCCTCCTTGTACCCTATGAGAGTTACCATTATATCAGCATACGAGATTAAGAATATCGATAGTTGAAAAAGCCATATTGATCGTTCTTCCATAGTTCAAATCATCTCAGTCCAAGCCATAAAGGGTATGACATAGTCATCAGTTGATAAAGAGAAGAAGTTGGATTGGTATCCTTTACTGTTTTCCTTGTTGTTGTTGTGACCGACAAACAGTTAAATTCATTTATATTTGTACTCCGAAATAAACAGAAGATTGTTTAATTTCTCTTTGGCGATGGCGAGTTTGAATGAAAAGTGGGAAGCTTTTGTCAAGTTTAAGTCTATTGTGGTAGATCGTGAAAGAGATGTTGTTCGAGTGACAGAAGAACTGTATGATCTTCATAAAGGCCGAAAGCAACTCAGGGGTGTAACAAGCAGTTGCGACTATCGCTTGACCATACCATTTGCCCCCCATCTCTTTGGCTCGGGCAAAACGACCTTTGCCCGAACCTATTTGGAGTTGGTGCAAAGGTTTGGTGAAACTTCCCTGTCGACGTTTGCTTCAGACCCTTTGAAGAGAACCTTTTTGGAGAAGCTGAAAAGGGCTTCATTGCTTTATGCGGATTTAAAGGAGTTGGAGCCCACAGTCCCCATAGAGTTTTTTCGAAACCTGAAGTGGGCAGTCTACTATTTGTTAATAAAGGCTGCCTGCTCTCAAGTTGGCGCGGAAGTTTTGCGAAAAAAAAGAAGCCTTCGAAATGGTGGATATGGAACCCTCCAACCTAGTTCCACTCTTACGAGATATACTAAGGATTCCTTCTGATCAATATCTTTTGTTGGCATTTGACGAAGTTGGTGTGTTTGACACACAGGCAACTTTTTTTGAACTGGAGAAGAATGACAAAGGTGTGGTTCGACCATACAACGACTTTTTCGGTATCATTAGTCAATTGTGCAAAGAACCCGACTTGTTTTTTATAGTTGTTGGGAAAAGCAAAGGTTTAAGTATTAAGAATGATGTGGCTTTTGGGCTATCAAGAGTTATACTACATTTTATTTCTTTATCACCTTTGGACGCTTCCAGTATCGTTGAATTCCTTGAAAAGACTCTTCTTGAAACACCTACTCAAGTTCCAGTTTGTAATGTCTTATGTAGTTCTTCATTTTCAGTAAATGAATTGGCAGATTCGTTATTGGAATGTACAGGTGGAGTTCCTGGTTTGTTGACTCGTGCTGTGAATATGCTTTTGAATTATATAATAGCAAGAAACCAGCCTTTCATATCGAAAGAAGAATGTTTGACGTGTATGAATGACTACGATTTCCGAAGAATTTGTGCTGAACCATTTGTGGAACGAATATTGAATTTGGACGAAGATAGAAAAAGTGTTTTTGATTTACTTTTGATGATGGCTCTTTATCGTATACCGTTTAAAGTAGATGACATATTGTCCTCGGAGTCTTATCTATTTGATGCAGTCACTGAGATGGGACTATATCGATATCCTATTGATCAGAATACTTTCCAAATTCTTATTCCAAAAGTATTTGTTGGAATCTTCAAGAACGACCCTTCCATATCTTCTTTGGAAAAGATACTTCTCGAATCACTTGATGTAGAACCAGTAGATTGTTTCTTCTATTCAAAGTGTCGTGTATTTGAAGGAATTGTTGCTTTACGACTAGTTTTGATGTTGTCTTCAAAGAATCGAAATGAGTTGAGGGAATTGTTGTGTCAATTGTCTCCAATATGGAAACAAATGAAACTTCCAATCAGTACAATATCACCTATTCACTATATGAAGTCTGTTGTTAGTTCTAGAGAAACAAAAAGTGAATCGAACAAGAGTCGACGAACTTTTGCGAATACTGAGTGGAATAAGATTATTCGAGAGACACTTTATTTAGAGACTATTTACATTCCTTTGGACGCTACTTCTCATAGTCCTGATATTATATTCAAATTACAATCTCCTGTGGAACCCAAAGTTCTTACTGTTGGAGTTGCATGTAAACGACGTTGGAAGTCGGAAGGAATTGGCTGGTCAGATATTATAGATGAAGCCAAGAAATTTTTAGATCCTGTTTATGATCAAGTCTTATCCAGTGCAATGGATTATCATCATTGTATGCTTATTATCGTTAGTACAAAGTTATCATTGAATGTTTCTAATGAGTTGGGTAGTCAGAGTCGTTGTTACTCCAGTGGAATGTTCATTGGAAATGATTCTTTCAAAGTACCTGATAATTGTGAACTTGTTATTCTTTGTGAAAGAGATGTCCAAATGCTGATTGACGAAGAAATATTGAATGGACTTGAAAGAGCATTTCATGTTTCTCATAATCCTACTTTTTGGGATTTTGGATTAGATTTACTTGATAGAATCCGTAACAGTTTCTTAAGTTGGCAATAGATTCTAACTCAATCCTTCACTTTGTGATTTGTTTTGAAGAGCAAGTAAACTTTTTTTTGTATGTTCGAAACTTGGTTACAGCTTACTCGCTTGTCTTTTGGACACCATACAGTCTTCCTTGAAAAGAGTTTATTAGCTGGCTTTCAAGGCTGGCTTATAATCGTTTCATGTCAATTTTGCAATATTGCAGAGTTGTAGCAATGATTCAAAATGAATAGACTATACATACATACATGTTGATACAACTAGAATGAAAAATATCCTTTCTTGTCCAAGTACTTAGTAAAGTGGTTACCGAAAGAATATCTCAAAACATTCTTCAAGTGTCTGCTACGTTGTCTTTCTAGTCTGTTGAAAAAAGACTAGTAACTTTTTTACTATAATTTTCAAAGACTGAAACGAAAAAGGTTGTTTGTACACAACAATCACTTGACCGATAACTTAGGAACTACAACGTATTTCAGCCAACATAAGAGTCGTGTTGGGTAAAAGTTCTTCAATATGGAGTGGCTTTCAGTTGGAGAATTGCTGAAGCTTTCAAGTTGGTACACTACTCGACCTTGACTCAAGTATAAAAGACGACTTCTTTAGTAAAACAATTTTTTGGCTCTGTCTTTTACTCTTTTTTCAGCATCGATGTGCAGAAAATGAACGGTTATAGTGACTACATTTGAAGCCTCAATTGATATTTTTATATACCACATATTCACAACTTGGTAAAAGTCGAACAAAGGATAGACAACTTGTGTAGCTATTACATCCATAACAGCTTGTATTTAATGATAAGTCAGTATGACAGTCTACATAATACTCTTCTCCAAACTCATTTAGACACTTTTGTATTTATAAACTGTGCTACGACCAGTTCCACACGAATAGACTTCCCATTCACTGCAATTCTCTGTTTCCCACTGTATTTCGTCTGTAACTTACAAAAAGCTATGAGACATGTATATAGGAGTTTGCGTGTAAGATGGTGTGGAAGATAGCAGAAAAACTCTCTTACAGTATACAAGCCATAGAAAGAGTACCAATCAATCTAATTCCCCACAAAAACTCATAGAAACCTATTTCTTGTCTATTGTAAAAGAAAGTTTCTAGTTATGACAAGCAAGAAAATATTCCTGATTTCTCTCTATTGTCAATGTAAGTCTAGAAGTGTCAACGAGATCAGTTCTACCAATCACCAAATAAAGCAACAGCTCCAACAATAAACATACACTCCTTTCGTCTCCTTTGAAAGTATTTCGGTCATTCATTTATTCGCTGTTTTGTTATGAATTGATTTCGGATTGGCGGCGGCGTGTAAAATGAGTTTGAACGAACCGTTAATAGATAGAAAAGAAGATGTTTATTCTATTCTTCGAACTTATTACTACCAGTTTCCTCGAGTTAGGGGAGACTTGAATACTCCACGTCCTGCAGCTTGTTTCTCCCCTCACATCTTTGGGGCTGGCAAGAGTTTTGTTGGTGAAAATTTTTTAGAGTTTCTAAAAAAATTCGCCGACGAAGAAGAAGAGCAGACGAAGACGGAGGTTTTCAACAAGAGCTCATCGGGAAAAGTTGATTTGAAAATTTTTTCTTGGAAACACTTTGCGGAAAACACTTTGTCAGTTTACTTTCAATTAGAAGAGAGCTTTTCTCGTGCTCCTTTTCCAAGGTTTCTAGAGGCTTTGATGTATAATATAATTTTGAACGCTTACCGACAAAATGGTAAAGATACGGACGCTCTTCAGATGGCTCAGAGGATGGTAAAGAAATTCGATACTGTAGGAGCTATTGATTATCTTCTCGAACAATTTGAGAAACAATATTTATTTTTG